ATACCATTGTGTCAGGTATTCCATCTTGACCAGCAGGTTTCCCTAATATTTTCCCCCACCAATAACTACTTTTGTTATTATAAAAAATAATTTTTGCTTTAGTTTTAATTTATTTACACATCTTTGATTTTAGCAGGGGGAGGGGGAATTTAGCAGGAGAATCCCCCCTCCCATTGGCCACAGTGCCAGGGAATAGTGCAGCAATTAAATGGCTGAAGAAGAAAATCATAAACGTAGGACTGTATCATAATGGGATAAGCAGATGCTTCAACTGAACTTTTTGGCAATAGGTGCTAGCAGATTGTTGTAAAACATTTACTGAATATTTTATGGTAGCCAGTGGCCTAAAACTAAAAATTCTTTTTAAAACTAGCTTTTTCAAAGATAATACACTCAGAAACCTTTATTTATATGGATAAATTTATGAAAATATATCTGTTATAATTTTGAAGTTCAATTTTTCAAACTAAAGAGCATTTATTGTTTTAAAAAAAACTTATATCTGTTTGATTTCATTTTTAAATATGGTCTTAAATTGGAGGTCATTTTGTGACTTGGCATAAAGGTGGTATCAGTCTTGAATTAGAGGGGTTCTCATAATTAGAGGGTAAGCTCAGTGTTAAAAGATAGGTGGTCAGTTGGTACTTTGAAAAAGTGGTCTCGAATTAGAGGGGTCTCGGAATTAGAGGGGGTCTCGAATTGGAGGGCAGACTGTATTAATGGTAGGCCTATATGTGCTCTGATCAAGAAGCTAAGATCAACAGATGTTCTCATGTGATCTAATCTAATCAAACAATGACAATAGAGACAAAACAACGATGACACACGTGTAAGTCGAGTTTAATTAATACTAAATAGGCCCAGTACTGTATACCATTTGCATCAACACAATACTATACAATATCAAGGATTTTTAACTGTAAGGACTTCGCTATAATGTAATGAACATCTGTGAAGATACTAACTCTGAACAGCTTTGCTCTTCAATTAATCAAAAAACGCGGCAATAATTTAAATAGGCCTTCCTCTATAACCCCATATTAATCTTAAATACACCCGGTCTACCTTAACGTGATGTTGTTGCAGCTACTGACAAATACCTGCCCGACGGAGGGGGACTAAAGGCCCCGACGGGGGAGGGGGCTAGTGGAACGAATCGAGTCCCACTCGCCTAGGGCCCAGGGGGCCGCCTAGGGCCCCGGTGGAGGTCCAGGAGGCGAAGTCCCCTGGAAGCTACGGATAATTGACGAATTATGGCGAATTTTTATTACTTACCGTATTTGACAGGCATAGAGATTACAATATGACTTCATTGTTTTCTAATGTCGAAATCAGCTTTCAAAAACAAAACATTTTGAATAAAGCAAGAAACAAAGAATATGCAATGTAACCATGAAATTTATTTATTTTCAAATCCTCATTCTTGAAAGTGAATTATTATTATTATTATTATTATTATTATTATTATTATTATTATTGTGATGAAAAGTTAACACAAATAGTTTAATGAAACAATATGGTGGCTAAACGAACATTAATAGGCCTACATAAATAATTTTTTTTTTTAATTTTTTTATTTCCTGACAAAATTTACTCGTACTATAGCACCCCCACCCTCTCTGGCGCTACCACATTAAGCAGTGTATTGTAAATTTACATGTAGTTAACCTTCATAGAATTTTATTTAAAAAAATGGCCTAATTAATTATCTTATTGTTTTCGTTAAATTAGATGGAGTTTAAATGTGGTTGTATTCAGTTACACTTATGCATCTTCTTGGTTAGCATAAGAGAACTAGAGCGTTGCTCCATGACTCCCCCCACCCCCCAATGCCTAAATACAGAATTCACGAAGGCAGGCGATTTTTTCTTCATGCTTGAGGTTGGGTTTCAAGGAAACTTTACAGAAAACAATCAATAAAATGAAAACAAAAATCTATATTTATAATGATAATAATAGGTCAATTAAAACGCAAATAAACAAGGTGTCTAAGCACCAAATAGTAATAATAATAATAATAATAATAACAAAAACAATAATAATAATAATAATAATACCAAACTTTGTCAAATATCCTTCCCCCGGGGGCCCTTGGCGTCCCCCCGCCCCCAGCCTAGATGCTAGCTTCGCTCGCATACTGGACCTTATTAAATTCCCCCACTTTCAAAAACGTTCCGCCGCCGTTGCAGGGGGGTCCAAGCGGGGGATCCAGAGGTCCCCAACAGGGGGTACTTCTCCCCCGGACCCCCGGTAGCGCCGCCCCTGGCCAATTATAAATTTTCTTACCTCAGCCCTAACCATGGTGGGGCTCAGGTGGTATGTCCTAATATGAAAATCCCTCTCCCTACCCCCCCCGTCCCCATTACCTGAATCCGCAACTGAAAAAACGTTTAATACTGTTCATATTGCATCTTCAGAATCGATTAAGGCTTCAAATTATCAAAAATGTCTGAGCGCGAGGGGGCTCTGCCTACTCGACCCCAGGAGGGCTCTGTCCCTAGGCTTCCCCGGCCATTTTGGTCCACTCTCCACAAATTCGCACCCAACCATATAAAATCCTGCGTACGTGCCTGCATATCCCATAATATGCTTATATGGAAAACAACAAACTTAGTACGAAATTATTATTATTATTTAAGTTAGTCTATTTTAGCGTATGTAGCTATAGTGTCCTTGATACGACAACGATATAAAACTGCATCCGGTCGAATTCCGGCAACCCTATCTGGTGGTCTTTTGCGGCCGCCGATGGGAGGGTGGATTGACATCCAGTAGCATGAAAAAAAAACAAAAAACAAAAAACAAAAACAGCTAAACAAAGGACGGATGAACTCCTCGGAGCCAACGGCCAACCATGCCTTAGTGTAAGAAGTAGGTTTTTTAGTTTCATAAGATAACATCAACTTTCAAAATGTCAAACTCAATCACCAAGCGCATTGAGGTTTTTTCGCATGATGTGCTATACAAATCCAACTATTAATTAATTAATTAAATATGAATTGATATAGAAAAGTGATATTAACACCTAAAGCAAGGATATTAACTACTTGTTTCTGGACCAAGTGTCTACTAAAGTGAATGCGAAACCGTACAACAATGTTTCTAACAAGACATGCTTTAACACTTCTATCCGACGTTTTATGTCCATTATTTAATGATTATTGAGGCCATTGATATACAATTGTTCATAAAATAAAATATAAAGAAAACAATCAGCCCGATGTTCCGCAGGTCGTTTGAAATTGTCTTTTTTCTGTACCCCCGAAACGTCTGGATTCGCCCTTGTTTTGAAAACTCTCCCTATTCCTCCCTCATCCCAAGCTTGAAAAGATAAGTTGTCCTTTTTGGTTTTTGTGGTGTACGTTTCTGATTTTAACCATTTTTAGTTGTAGTTGATCAATTTGCTGATGAAGACTATAATCCTGTCATTCCATATCAACAGTGCCTTCACATGTGTAAAGATTATGAGATTTTCGAGAGGTTCTGTTGCTGATCTCCTTCCCCATTGCAAACTCCTTTATTGTGAGTCCAAGAGACTTCTTGGTACAAAGCCTGGTTTCCATAAAATCGCTACAGTTTCAATCATTAAATTTCATTTTCCCAATGATACAGTAATTATTGAGTTCCTTGTTCATACTGGTCCATTTTAACTGGGAATGCATGCCCATGCTCTCGGCGAATTGTCAAGCTCAGACTGACAGAAAATTTCTGAAAATTGTGAATGAATATTAATGATGCTATTGTATTTCACATTAAATGTTCCATTTTAATCAATTTTAATGTAGGCCCATTCAAGTGACAAAAAAAAAAAAAATAAATAAATACATAAAATAAACAAAAAAATCGAATATCCCATATAATGGTTAGGGGTAGTAAAAATGTAATCTATTTTTGATAACTATTCATCATGGCTTGGGAGGGAAGGAGGAGGGGGACTGGGCTGATGTGGTTGTCGAATCTCAAGCCAGCAGCATTTTTGGAGACATTAAAATCTTAACATAGGCTTTCCGCCCCATTCTATTACTAGCTTCACAGCATATGAAATACTACAACATTCATCATAATGAATTATTTACGGTCAATCATATAAATTAATATTACATAACTCCGATAGGCCTACGTATTAAGTAGTCATTTATGATAGAACACACTGCTAGCAGCATAGGCTGGCCAGTGCAGCAGCAGGCAGGCAACTATGATCTTTTTAGATTAAATTTTATATCGTGTTAAAATTGTCTGCAGTATACATTATCATTAAAAACATTTTTTTTGGATTACCCATTAAATACAGTACTCGCCCAAATAAACACACTGGGGCTTAAAATATTTTTTGCACTTTCTGAGGGGTGCTTAATTAAACAGGGCGCTTATGAAAACAGCGTAGAAATTGAGGGGGTGCTTATGGAAATAGATGAAAATCGAGGGGTTCTTACGAGAACTTGTATAAATTCAAGAGGCACTAAATGAAAAAAGATTATATAAGGACATCGTAGGAAAAGTAGTAGGACTAGGCCTAGAAAAATGTAAGAAAATGAAAGTTCGAAATATACTGTCTGTCCAGGGAGCTCTCATCTGTCCAAGAATTTTTGAACATCTGAAATCATGCCAACATCCAAAGTCCCAGGATTGATTGGATTATTGACTTCCTAAAAAAAAAAAAAAATCACATGATATTGAGGGGGCACTCATTCAAATTAGAAGGGGGCGCTTATCCAAACGGGGCACTTATTCGTGCGAGTACGGTAACCGATTTTGAGTGATTTTAAACATCCCAGGACATTTGTCACAGTAAATTGGCTGGAAGTTTCAGTCTGTCCATTGGTCTGTGCATAGGTTAACAGACAAAGGGAATACTTCCTACATGACATGAAAGAGGTCCAGTAGTTGCACATCTTGCATGATTGACTGACTGCACATGGATTCAATGACCAGTCTACTAGATCAAATTGCCATTACTGTATAAAAAACCGGATGGAACAATAAAATGCAAAGAAGGTAGATTTAGCTTAGTGTTAAGATTTTATTGCAGTCGACCAGTTGAGATAAAAATACAATGATTTAACATTCAGACTCATGTACTCCTGCAAATTTTGAAAACTGAGGACTTTAATGAAATTCCTAGTTTATAAAACTTTCTATCATCATAACAATAAAAATAAGAACGATTACAATAATATTAATATCTTTATTATTTAGTTACTGAACTTACATGTAAAGAATTTACTATACATAACAGAAACTAATGTGTAGACAATCAATTTCATAAGCCGAAAAATGCCTTCTAATGCAATGAGGCACAGCTTATTGTCAGGGTATAACAGCAAAAAAATTCAAAATATAAAAATGCAAGAGTATCTGAGACACGTTCAAAACTTATGATCCTTCAATTATTCTAATTACCTTTAATGCACTTAAGTATTTTATAGGTAGCACAGTAAGTGAAAACCTATTGAATTGACTATAAATATCTACATATACGAGTTTCATTACATTCTCAATGGAGAGGGCACCCATCACAACTAATAATTCTTTTTAATTCAGTGTGAGCTTAGCAAAATTCCTTACAAAGCTAAGATATTTCATTTGGATTGAATTTCTAAATTAAAACAATATTATGAATTATGGATAAATCATACCAATGTGTTTTGGAAGAATTCAATAATGCTTAAAACATAAGATTGTCTTGATACCCATAGAAAACAGATGATGGTTAACAATGAAACTGAAAATACTGTACACTGAAATAGGGACCACCAGACCAACACATATTCAAGTGGTGGAGCAAAATGAACTAAGAATCTGCTTTAAATACATAATATAGCATATTGGGAAATTTCACAAATACACCATTCCCCTCTTTGAACGTGAAACCTGCTATCATTTACATTCTTTCACACAATAATAAATATGACACCCTTTGCATGCTGGCCCCAAAAAACTGATGAGTATACCCACTTATACTTATTAAACACTATTTCATACAGATTTTAGACAGTATCTGAAATGATGTGTTTTGGAATGAACTATCAAGGCTCAACATAGGCACTAGTAATGGTTAGAATATCATCAGCTTCTTTTCCAGTGAAAAGTATACATTGATGAATTAACATGTAATAAGTAATATAACAACATGCACATGAAATGAATTGCAAGGTAAAGAAGATGAGGATAATGCCACATTAGTGATGTTATACATGTATATCACATTGGATGTTACATTTGTCAGGTTGTACAGTAGATGTGTCCAACTACAGTAGTACAACAAACATCACATGATGTACGTACAAACGTTTTAAAACTACTGTACTACTAACATGGCATGTTGTATGAATGAGGGTTTAAATGTGTCCATATGCGGACTACAAACATCACAGATGAGCATGTATCTTGGACCAGTTCAAATTTGCCAATTGTATCAGAAAAAACCCATAAATTTATTATAAATGTCTATGTCAACGAGAATTATAATTGTTTTTATTGTGTGAAACTAATGCTTTGTCCAGACTACTGTATGTATTTGGTTTTGTGTGACAAAATGTGATTTGCTAATACATGGACTAAGTAATGTCATACAATCCAATACATAGGGAACACACCAATATAGAAAGAAATCAAATGGAATTTGTCACAAAAAATATTTATGGCGTTGACCGAGTATTAGTTTCATACATTGAAAGTGCTTCTTAATGAACCATGAATTATACTGAGGATGCAGTCTTTCAAATCATTTGTATATGTGCCAACATCTAGACAAATTTCCAATGTGGAAGCAGTAGCATATTTACATTGAAATATGTTTGCTGAACATGTGCTACTAATGATACCAACTTGTCACAATGTTACTTTGTATCAGTGGCATGTTTAAATGTAGACACATTTTACAAGTGAGATACTAATGTCAATGATGTCAACTTGTCACATTGGCCCTTGGTGCAGTGACATGTTTACATCTACACATTTTTGCTTTCACATGAGTTACTAATGTCAACTTGCCACAATGCCATCTAGACACTTGCAGTTACTAACATCAATGATGTCAACTTGTCACAATGGTAGCAGTGTCTACATGTAGATACTTGCTGACACATAAGTTAGCAATAATGTCAATGATCTACTAAGCATTACACTGAAAGGCACCAGCAAACACATGGTGTTACACTAAAGAATTTCAACTTGTCACAATACAACCTCATAGCAGAGGCTGTGTAAACAGGTTTGCTGGCATTTGCCTGCTAACTATATCACCTTGTCACAATGCACTTAGTAGCTGTAGCTTGTTACACCTAAGCATATTTGCAGACACATTCATGTCAAATGTTGCAATACCCGATATATATTATAGATAGGACCTGATATGCTTACATTTAGACATGCTTGGTGAGAATTAGGATGCAGAGTGGTATATTCTGTCTAGAATTTGAATTCTTTGTTATTGGCATGATAGAATGCTATTTTTTCATTATCTTCTTTTTTATCATTGACTTTATCCTTCATAAAACAACTTTAACCTTTCTTGTCAAACTAAGAGAATTATTTTAAAATTATCAACTGTACCTCTTAAGGCAATATTTGAAACAATCGTTTTAAATGAAGGTTTAATAGAAGAAACAAAAAATTAAGAATACAAATTCTGTAATATATTTGATAATATAGGATAGTTGGTTGCACCTTCATTTTACTTACATTAAAATTGGTATGTTATAAATATGCCATGGTCGGTTGAAGCAAGATGGTATATTTATTCAATACATGGAAGACTGAAAATACATTTTCATTCTATTTGTAAATATTAATTTATTACACTTGGTTTTTGTGTTGGAGACATTCTAAAATAGACACAAATCAATTGCCATATAATAATAATAATACACTCACATTCTTTAGATATTAACCTGTTATCACGCAGAACTGTACATGAACGTGTAATTTACATTTACAGATGCAAGAGATTTAAAACAAATTAATAAAATACTAATAATTCTATTAAGAATGAATATTACAGATGATAAGACAGTATAAAACTTAAAACAAAAGAAAACAAAGAAACCTTGGTTTACTTATTGGATTAAATGGTTTTCATTTTTTAGGATCTTAATCTCCAAAAAAAAAACAAAGATCTGAAAAACCAAAAAAAAAAAAAATGTAAAGGGGGAGGAAGTGAATGCATTCCTGTTAAAGTCCTGTCACTTGCTTCTATTCTCACAGTATCTCCTGGACACAATACTTTACAAAATACTCTTACATAAATATATTGCTTCATTATTTGGGGGTGAGGGGGTGGGGTGAGGAAGGGGTAGAATAAATTCAAAATATTTCAGGATATTAATGTTACTTTAAGTGTAAAGATGCCAAATCAAACAGGTTTAAATAACCAACAATCACAATTACAATTAGTAATTTAACTGTTTGTTGTTTCATTTGATATATTAATTGCATTTGTTTTTATCATAAAAATGAACTCCAGTATTTCAGCAAAAATGTCTTTCCTATTCCCTTGTAAATGCATATAAGGCTTTCATTTCTTGTTGGAAATCACTAAGTATCATACGTATTATTCTTTTAAAGAACACTCACCTCTTTATAGTACAAGGTATTGATTTGTTGCCTGCATTTACCACCTAAGACTAGGTAAGTTTAAGTTTAACGACTACTGACTCTAACAAATTAAAGAAAATAATGATTAAAAAAAGCCATGACAAGGCAGCGTCTATATTCACCATGTAACTGAGTATTGAGATATGCGTGCTTACTAATTCATGCACATGGTTCATTTCACACACTTTCCATTCAAAATTTAAAGTATGCTGAGTTTAGCCATATTCCCAAGCAGAATTCATCAAGAATATAATTTGGTTTCAATCGCTTTCAAAATCACTGCATAGACTTCTAATGGTCACCCATCAAAGTTGTGCTTGCTTGCTAGGTAGCTAGCAATCAGTTTAGTATTGACCACTCTAGAAACCTTGTATTTACAGTATATCTCTGAAATAAATTTGGTCTAAACAGCAACTGGTTTTGCAAATTAAAAATCATTTAAAACATTTCCAGTTTGCACATATAACTTAAACAGGTAGATTGTATTACGATATACGAACACCACAGGGTGATAGTTGTCAGGGCAGGGGGTAAGAGTAATGTCCAATCACTGACATTGTGCCCTCCATAGTTCACATTTATTTTTTAACCTAATTTAGTTGTTAGCTTGGTGAATCAATCTGCAATAGTGCACCTTCAGGCAATTGTCTCTATCCCCAATTCATGTTATTTACTCAGATAGTCTTAACAGTAGGGCAGCAATCTGGTGGGGTGAGTAGAGAGGGTAGATGCATTGATTTTTTTAAAAAACACTTGATAAATTTACTCCCTGACTGATGATGGATGTATTGGAGTTTTAGATCAATTTATCATATCGGTCCGTTCTGCTTTGTTTCAGTTACGAATGATTCAAGAGCTTGCTTAGCCTCCAGTCTGTTGAAAAAAAATCATTAGAAAATACAATTTTATTAACAACTTTTTAAAAAAGTTGCAGAATTTCTGAACATAAAGAACTATTGAAAAAATATCCTCCCTAGGACCACTCCTTGACATAGGGATTAACTGAATGGTAATTGCTGTATATGTTCAGAACAAATTACAGGCACTTTTCACTGTTATCATTCGCAAGTTATAACTAAATAGTATTTAGCTGACCACAGCTTGATTCATGTGATTGGAGAGCGAGATTTTCTTTGATAAGGAAAACACCTTTTGTAGTATTACAGTTAGATAAAAGCATGTATGCTTCATAGTTCATCATTTGGTAGTTCATGAGTAAAGATCACAAACTTTGCTTGTTACGATACATTAACAGTAAATAATTATTATTATCAGTTATAATGCATAATGCCAAGACCTCCATGTCACCAAACTGATTCAATCAAAAACCTATGGAACACTTGCTCACCTTCATGGTGAGTCTTCCAAGATATAAATCAGTGCAAATGTAAGCACAAACATAAGTGAAAACAGAAGCGCCAGTATCATGCAAAATGATATTAACTGTTAAGATCTGACTGTAACTTAGATCTAAATCTGGTGATTGGTATACTGTAGTATAAGTAGCATTACTTTATAACCACAGTGACGACAGCTAGAAAGCAATAAATTTTGGAATAAACACCCAGAAAATTTAGGATATGAGACAGGGTTACTTTACTGACCTGGCCTGTTCAACTTTGTCATTGACATCTACAGACTCGGCATTGGTCTTCACTTGCTGCTCTGGTGATTTCATCAACCCACTTGAAGAGAGAAAGCTGAAAGCAAAATCAGAATTATTCACAAATCATTTAAACATTAATCAATGAAATAAAAATGACAAAAAGAATTGACAACACACACACACACACACCATAACAATTACATAGGTTCCTGTAAGAAGTAATACATTCTTCATTTTATTTAAATTCAAATTACAGTTAAACTTACCTAAATCGACTGTGGCTAAGTCAAATATTTTCTAAGTCGATCTTATTTTACATGCTAAATTGCTATGTTTTCCATTAACTAACAATCTGCAAGTCAAATCTTATCTTCTAAGTCGAACAATATTTCAATGGCATTTTCGATTCGACTTTAAAAAAAAAACCATTAATAAAATGTGTTTAGTATCTAATGCACTTACTCAAAATTATCATTTAAATCGTCATCATCTTTGTCTTCACTAGCATCTTTTTCGCTGGATTTTTCATTTTCTAAAACAGGTGATTGTAAAGCAACATTGGTACAGTCCTCTTTCTTTTCAATTTCAATATTTTTGCAGTCTTCAGTTCTAACATCATCAGAGTCCTGTAAACTTCCTATATTTTCAGATACTCGCTGCACAGCCTCTGGGGCTGGGGAGCCTTCATTTTGTTGGTCAGCCTGCTCTGCAGTAGTATTATTTGGTGGGATTTTTTCACTTTCAATGCCTTCTTTCAAGTCCATACCCAGGTCTGGCTTAGTGTCAGCCTCAACTGCTGAGCTTTCTACATTGCTGACTACTTTCCCGACTAATTTCACAGGAGTCGGAACATTGTCTGTACGCGGAGATGCACATTCTGATGAGATTTCTTGGTCGTCTTCAGGTTTACTACATTTCATATGATCCAATAACTTTATCCCCTGGGTCCCCTGGCCTTCAGCTCCACTTGTCTCTTCATTAACCTGCATTGGTTCAACAATTTCACTAAACAAGAGCAAGAAAAAAATGTAAATAAGATTGTACAAATTATGAAACAAAAGGTGATACAAGCCATTATTGATTCTATATTTCAAACTTTATTCTTCATCTTCTTGTACAAATTATATACCAACGTTTTACTTTAACAAAGGATTTCTTTGAAATCAAATTTCATTATAAACAAGACACTTAACTTATGATTAAGTTTTTGAAATTGAAATTGTGGTTATTAAACATACGTTGAACATTAAGATTAAGATTACATTTCAATGCATATGTTTAAGGTCGGATAGATAATTCTAATCAGCTTGAGAGGCTTGAATCATACTAGCAGATAACAGTATGCGGGGTAGCGACAAATTTCATATTCACAAACAGTGTTCCTAGTATTTACATCTCTTTTACACATCAAATTACCAGAATCTTCATATACTTAAGAAAGTATAATACATACTCCAAGTATTAAAATGCACACCATCAATATACTTACTAACACAGAAAACTGGGCTACGGTCATCTCACAAGAACAGCATGTTATCAGACACTGACTTTTCAAAAAGGAAAATTGAACAGCAGGGACCTATGACATGTCTAAATCTAACTAAATGTGTATAACCAAAATAAAAAGGAGAATACAATACTATTTATTTAAGCCTGGTAATCACTAGACCTGGCATGAATCTATTGGAATCATAGTACGACAGAGTGACTGCCTTGATTAACAATGTTATTCCTTACCTCTCGGGTAGTGCGTCTTGAGATGTGGCACGAGGAGTGGTTTCCTTTGAGCTTGATTCTGTCTCAGAAGGGCTTCCTGCAGTGACCACTACGTGGATAATATAAAAAATATTAATTGTGCAAGAATAAATATATTACATTTAACAAATTTTTGACTGAATATAATAATAGAGACAGTAATTGAGTATTTGGTATGAACACTTATAATAATGTAATCTTCAGCCTTTTTAAGGAAGTTGGGTGGTTACTGGCCTGTAGTACTGAAATGTACAGAGTTATCAAGGAGAACATGCTCCTGCAAGGTGGTGATCAATATTACAAGACTATATTAAGGAAAATAGGATAGTATTCAATCAGAGACCCAAAAATATAAGTTTCAATTTACAATGTTTAACCACCAGTTAAGGGTCCAAGATAACTGAAGTAGTGAAGATGTATCTTGGTGGTTAAAATGCTTGCCTTCCAATAGCAGGGTCATGGGTTTAAATCTTGTGACAGCCAGGATTTTTTCCTTACGATCCTAAGTCTCGTAATGAGACATGGTTTATGAAGCACCATATTATTATTATTATTTAAATTTTGTTTATATAAAGTGGCCCCTGAATATCAGCTAAGCTGGAAAGGTCACCCTCTATTAAACTTTAGTTAAAAAAAAAAAAAAAAACACATTTGTGCATGATTTTTTATCATCTTAGCCACAGTCTTGGCTTTCTAGACACGCCCCAACCTCATGCACAGACTGTGAATACTGGCTTTTGCATTACAGCCTTTTCACACGTAATCTCAGTTATTGTATAGTTTTCTGCCAATCAGAAGTCTCACTACCCAAACATTTAAGTATTTCCCTGCTTGGAATTTTCTGCAGATTTTATCCTCCTGAGGATGACTGAAGCAACTTAATCGAAACGTCCAGACATTCTCATGCAACAACAGTCCTTTTCCAGCATTAATATATATTATTACTTCATTCTGCAAACCTTCAAACAGTATCATTAATCTTCCCGAAAAAACTTATGAAATCTTACTGTAAGGCACACCAGCCTGTCTATCTGCTTCAGGTGTTGCATCATCCGCTGACTCACTATCCATGGCTATTGGAGAGCTACTCCTTGGTGCTGATTGGCTAGCACTGTCCAGAAGAAAAGCAATGTTGATTGGTTATTATACTTTGGTGTGATAGCTCACAAAGTGGAGTCCCTCTGGGCAGTAAATTAACCAGAAAAGTCCCCACAGAAGTGAATGGCTTATATCCCACAACATTTTTTGGCCATTTTTACTGTTCTGGGATGTTCTAGAATGAATGCAATAATTTATTGTCGAACATTTTTGTGCTACTTACGGTACTTGTCAGGCAGTTTTGGTAGTATTAGTGTACTTTGCAAATATATGATATGTATGATAAGTGAAAGTACCCAACATTAGGGAATATATTGTACATGTGACACACAAGATACAACCATATCAAACAGGCAGCAGTTTAAAATGCGCTTTTTGTATACATTAGGCCAGGGAGGTGCTATGCCTATATTGCACCTCCTTGATTTGGCACACAATGACCTATAAAATTCACAAGCAAACCCAGTGATCCCTGCAACTGTCAGCGATAGTTTTGCTGGGATAGATACATACCTGTCTGATCTAAATCCCCTATCAAAGTCGTCAAAATTTGCCCAGCCTGTGTCTTCTACTCTAGATGATGGTTGGTCCCAGCCAACAGGTGTTGTATCCATAGCAACTGAAGATTCAGGAGGAGCATTACCAAAATTTGCTGTCCAAGCAGCTGTTGACTCAACATCCATCCTATGATCATCATTTGGCCTTTGAACTTTTGGGGTTTCGAATCCCTCGTCCTTTGTCTCATCTTCACTATCTGTACTGTTATCGCTATCATTAGCTGCATTTCTTGACTCTATGTGATTACTAATGGAAACAAGGGATACAAAACTAGGTAATTTCAATAACACATATAAGTTTAGATTACACTTGTGGAGTGCAAGTTACACTCAAAATGAACGTACTGCTGCAGGACTAATACTTCGCAACCTACTCAGTAGCGGAGCAGGTCGCAAATTGTGCTAATTGTTTTCAAGAACAAAGTGTAATATTAGTTGAGCATTTGCAACCAAACAGCAAATAGCCTCACCAATTAGTACAGTATGTCATCTTATACACATGCCAAAAAGGGCTCAAAATATTAATCTGGTCATTGGATGAAACATTTATGGCGTGTATATTTTGTTCACTGGCCACATGGTCGAGGGAAAACTGTAGGTCGAGTGCCTTGTGAAGGACACAAGTTAAATAATGAAAACAGTCATTGTCAAGGTTGAGATCTTGAATCACAACCGTTGCACCAAACCGCTAACATGCTAAAATCAACCAAAGAAAAACCAAAGTTAACATACTGCACCTTTCAATTTGAGACCCCTCTACTTTCAAGGCTACTTATTCAAAGAACCAAATAACCAGCTTCATTTTTTTTTTAAACACAAAGCTAACTCTGGGAAATTTTCAGGTCCCAATGGTGGTAATTTGAGGGCGAACTGTATAATATTAATATCACTATTTTTAATTCTATGTTTGTCTAATAGACTACAAGGGCAATAAGTAGTTGACATACCTTGATCTTGATTCAACATTAGAAGGATATCTCATTTCCCTAACTTCAAACATGTCATCTTCTTCATCACTGCTGTCATTGAATTCTTGGATTTTTTCATTGCAACATGCATCAAACAAGGCAGAGTTGGGCTGTGGATCAGGAATAAATAAAATAATCTTGTAATTCATGTTTTCATTAATTTATCATATTTTTATGATGAGAATGCTTTGTACAATCTATATCATAAATGTAACTAAAAGGTGTGATGTTTTGCTCTACCTGACGCGTTATCGTACCGAATACTCAGTACGTTAACAAATACTTGGGAAGTAAAATACTTATACAGTAGAACCTTGATTATACATACGGTACGGGACCGGAGGACACACATAAATCAGGGTTTCATAAAATCAAGGTTGTGTTAAATTTGTGGTGATGCAAGTAGCCCTCAATAAACGTATGTTATGAACGAAAGATGTTACCAAATGCCTGTACCAAGGCCTAAAACGTACAACTGTAAGCCTACGAATTAAACCATGTGTTTAGTGTTTTTATTCATCACTTTAATACATCATAATAAAGTGATCAAATAAAACCAAGTGTCTTGTGTATTAATTCATCACTTTATATCTTTTAATTAACTGAAAAAAAAAAAAGAAAAAAAAAAGAAGGCTGGTATGGTATGGGCACCTGCTCCGCTTAGATGAACACACACCAGCTAGAATGGCATACCACGAAGCAGAGCAAAAGGTAAAACGTCTGCAGGGGCGGCCGACAACAACATGGATGGCCAACATCAAGAAGGAAACCAGATTTTTCACACACGGGCCCTAAAAAGGGCTGTTTGTTTTGAGTATTTTTTGGGTCTTTGTCGAGTCAAATGGCCAAGGGGTTACCAAGGCCGCCGCAAGCTACAGCCATAATATCGGCGCTGGTTCGAAGGGCACGCTTGCATATGGTTCTGGTGGTAGAACAAGTCTTCTCGGATAAGGACTATAAACCATAGGTCCAGTGTATACAATGGCACAAAACTGAGAGTTTGTATAAAAATGAAGTTCTACCGTCCTATATAATTATTATATATGTTAATAAATACATGTTTGCTATTACTCTATACTTATTACATTCAGAACAATCTCAAAATTACACAACAAGGAATAAAAATTACTGTAGTTTCATTGTACTCACATTATTTTCATTTGCTGGTATTGAGAATTTCACTTCAGCAATTCTATCAAATGGATTACTATATAAAAAAAAATCAAATCAATACAATGAATTACTATCGACACTTTAGCAGACGCAATATAGAGGAGGTCACCTAGGAAACTAAAAAGACGTCACATAAGTAGCAGTATAAGTGGTGTAGTAGACTTATCAAATTCATAAGGTACAAGTTCTCTCAATTGTATTCTGCTCCATATTAGTGTATAAATTCCCATATGGGACATAAATAAGGACTGAACCATGACTCTGCTATGGAGACGAGCAGAATGACTGCTTAAATTTATCTATACAAATTCGGCTGCCATTGACTGATTTTATATGTTTGATATTTCTGAAATGTATATCATCTATATAATAACTCTATTGAATTATATATATATATATTATATATATATTATATATATATATATATATATATACTATGTCTATATAATAAGAATTATATCCCAGTCATCCTGTCACGTTTGCAATGTTTTTATAATGTCTTTGTGTTGTTGCTACCGTATCACATGCTAGTTTCATTAAAACATATGAGTCTGTCTCTTATACACATCTAGATGTGTATAAGAGACAGATATATATGTGTGTGTTAATAAATACATGTTCGCTATTACCCTATACTTATTACATTCAGAACAATCTCAAAATTACACAACAAGGAATAAAAATTACTGTAGTTTCATTGTACTCACATTATTTTCATTTGCTGGTATTGAGAATTTCACTTCAGCAATTCTATCAAATGGATTACTATATAAAAAAAATCAATACAATGAATTACTATCGACACTTTAGCAGACACAATATAGAGGAGGTCACCTAGGAAACTAAAAAGACGTCACATAAGTAGCAGTATAAGTGGTGGAGTAGACTTATCAAAATTCGTAAGGTACAAGTTCTCTCAATTGTATTCTGCTCCATATTAGTATAAATTCCCATATGGGACGTAAATAAGGACTGAACCATGACTCTGCTATGGAGACGAGCAGAATGACTGCTTAAATTTATCTATACAAATTCGGCTGCCATTGACTGATTTTATATGTTTGATATTTCTGAAATATATATCATCTATATAATAACTGTATTGAATAGAGTAATATAAACCACTAAAGAAAATTAACTAATGAGAACGCACTTCATGTTCCAGAGGGCGCTAAAGCTGGTTGAGGTTTATCATTGATACAACGTTAATGCCTGCAGCCTCAAAAGTGAACATTAAGAATGAATATAACATAACAGTACATTAAAACTGCTAATGTCCTTTCTATTTAATGAATACTTACCTCTCCTAAAAAATGTTTACTTGCAAGTATCAAATGATATCAATGTCTTAAACTTTGAAAATTGCTTTCTGAAAGTTTAGGTTCTGTACTTACTGTAGTTCTTCTGGTATAATAAGCCCATTAAATTGAACACAAAATTGGGCCAATTTTGGGGGATTGTCTCACACCCAGGGAACCTCCTTTTCACAAGGAAATTGATGATCTTTTTTTAAACTGACTGCATGTGCACTCATTTTCAGGGTTGGCTAACTAAAAGCTATTTTTTCAGTGCTGCATGCCAAATAAAAGCATTTTTTCAGAAGGTATTTGTAAAAATCAGTTGAGCTACTTGTTCAAATTATACTCTAGGAAAGGATTGCATGTAAAATTAAGTGTAATGTAGGCGATGGGCTTATTATATGTGAAGTGGGCTTATACTCAAGGAACTATGGCATATATGTTACGGTACAAGACACGGTATATCTACTCAACATCACACATTTTAACACACTATGCACTAATACAGAGTTCCAACATTCACCCATAACACAAAATACACTAATTAATATCATGGAGGGATAATTATTTTTCAAAGGTCAAACATAACTATGACACTGGTTCATAATTCTCAGTTCCTATTTAATGCAGTTTATTAATTTAATTTAGCTGAGCTTTCAGCATCATGATCATCACAGTATAATGTATTTGTTACATTTGGTCTCTCCATGTATACTCTGATATACACACTTTGCAATTATGGAAATTTCCAAAGTGAAAATAAATGTCTGAAAAAATAAATTGTATATACAGTATAACATAAAGGTGAGGTGTAAAATTCTATGGTACACAAAAAGGAACAGCACAAAACTAATATGAATCTACAACTGCATCATTGCAATACAAATAATCAAACTAATCAAAATGCATTAAATAAAATACTGTACTACAGACCAAAATACTAACACAAGTTAAAATAAGAAAACAAAAATCAGTGGCAAAGTACACCAAAATATACAATGAATAATGAAAAATATATACAAAAATGTTTAGAAAAAAGTTAAATTGCTTCCCTATGCATGCATTCTTCTCTCTAACTACTTTCTGTTGCCATTGCAGTTACCAAAATTGAATATTAAATATATAAGTAAAGTATACATGTGATCAAGAATCTTCTTTCCCATCAAATCAAACGTGAAATGTAATTTTAAAATCCATTATAAATTAAATTTATTAAATAATTCTCAGAAAAGTAATTTTTTTGGCAATGAATGGCAATTACAATAAACAAAGATAAAAGGATTATTATTCAATGTGCAATAAAATGAAGTGTGTAAGAGAAAAGAAAATTTTAAGGCAACATATTAATATAAGAATATAAAAAATAGTTTCATTTGACGCTTTCTGTGGGATAGATTGTGGAAGCCAAATTCAAGGCCAAGTAAAAACAGATGATTGACATTAGGGTTAATTGGCTATGAGTCGGTATGGGTCAACACAGGTCAACTACTACGACAAAGTTAATCAAGGTGGCAGTCTCATACTTCATGTGATAATTTATATTAGCAGGTATTAATCTTTTCTTTGGTTGTTTAAAAGCAAGACGTAATAAATATGTTTAAAGGGACATGTTTTTACGGTTAGATGTCAATACTCCTGCCTATGCAGACATGGCATTTGCAGTTGAAGATTGTATGAATGGATTGACGAATAATGTAGGCCAACATCAAATCAATCTTGGAAATGTTATCAAAAACGACTTAGGTTTAAGAAATCTCGTACTTGAAAGTAAAGATGACTTGGTGGACTTCTGCGAAATTGCCAGAGGCAGAAACAGGTTTAAGTTATTAAGAATTATTTAGAAATATATTTTTGTTTAAACTCACATAATATAGGACAGATATTTTTACTTCATGAGTTTGTTGTCTTATAATATTTGAATAAGGTTTTGAATATATATTTATATCAAAATTCTGAGCATTTCTGCCTTAACTCACCACAACCTAAATTTAATATAGAAATGCCATTGGGTGTTAGAACTCACTAAATCATGGATTATTACATGGAAATGTGGGATAGCAATGTGAAATACACATAAAGACAAACAAAGGAACAACTACAATATAAAAAAAAATTGAGATCAAAAGATACAAACTGATTGTTACTTACTTGACATTCTCATCTTGCTCTGCAAACTCTTCGTCATTGAAGCCGAACTGGTCAATAAAATGGGACGTCATTTGTTGCATCTGATAATCGGAGAAGGCCTGACATAGCAGACCAAAAGTCATTGTGTACATATAAAGGAGCTACTCTGGTCTAATCAAGGATTCCACCGCCAATATACATCCAGCTACATTTGAACATATTCATAATATGGCGTAGGAAGGGGAACCTTATAATGATTACCACAATTTCTAGCATGTATATACAGGAATACAATAATGGCTATTTTACATAGTGTCCTGTCCCATTATTGCTAATTAATTCTAAAACAATAATCACTTATTACGTGTTGCTAATCTGGTGTATTTTTTACATTCAAGAAGAATTTTAAGAGTTTTCTGCATTACAGAGACAATGTTCACAATCAACGGAACAGTAAAATACAAGATAATTTAAAATGTAATTAAACTTTTTTTTTGATTACATACAAAACAATCTTATAGCTTATTCATCACACAACAATGTCGGTAAATTGCTGCTTTATTACAAAGAGAGTGAGATAGTCAGAATAAAGACAGATTTTCAAGTGGGAAATGAATCATTTCTGAAGGTTCCACAGGAAGAGAATGGATATTTTAGTGAACAAAAATAATTACATCCGATTTCGAATGAATCATTTTTATAGATGAGGCATAAGACGAGGTCAATGGATTATGTAGCCTCGTTTGTTAAAAAATTAGATATTGCTACTGAATTTGCCAAAAACAAACATCTGAATAAAAAAAAATATATATTCTTTATTAATATATCAAAATTATTTTCTATTATTACAGTTGAAATATTGTAATTTTTTTATTTATTAGTTTGCTACAAAAATATAGATAAACGAATAGAAAAAAATATAGGTACTAAAGATAAAAAATAATAATGATCTATACATCAAATCTCATTAGGAGGGAGTTTTTTTAGCATTTAAACTCATGATCCAAGGATTAGAATTGAAACTACTGAGCTCCACACTATGAGAATATGTGTGAAGGTTATGCCTACCTGTTGCATCGTTGTCTCCTGACCAAACTGGATCCCTTTAAAATCTGAGTCATCATCTTCACTTGATGAATGTAATGGATGACTGCCCACCTGATAAAGAAAATTATAATAATTATAACATTTATAAATTACGTGTTGTTGGTTTACAATAAATACTATTTAATGGCGGTACCTCAAGACATTACTGGGGACAGTCCTTGCATTATGGGTTATTATGTACATGGAAAATTATTATTATATATAAGATACCGTCAAAATGTATGTCATTATTTAAAATATACTGTCTGTGAAAAATAATCAACATAAAAAAAAGTCATAACTTATTGGCCTTCAATTAAAAATTTGAACTAAATTTTCCTAATTGCTATACAAATTAGTTGCACAACTACAGTAAAAGAGTTCCTAATTCTTTTCGCTAATCATTTTTTTCTTTAAATGGATTGATTGACACTTAAAATTCATTTTTCTGTATCATTTTCAAAGCACACAATTTCCAAAAAACTAATCTTCATATATATTTAATATAGTATTTGAAATCATCGAAACAACATCCAAGTGTGTATTTGACACCACAACGAATTTTACAATCTCTATCCTACAATTTATGTACATCCTTCTGGTCTTATTCTGTGAATTGTCCTTGAATATATCATGTCATTTTCATAATGCTTTCCTTGCTAGCATGAAAAATGAGTTTGTTATTAACCTAACAGGTTTACTAAAAAAAAAATCGTAAAAACAATCAATATACTGTTGTAATTTAATTGAGTATTATTACATGTTGCTACTGTACACTGTAAAACTTCTAATAATAACCCATTATTCTATCAGTAACCCCTTTTAATAGTAATCCACTATAGATGTTAATCTATAACCCACTATTCTAATAGAAACCCATGGGATTACTAAAACTATAGACAAAATGACATTCAAATCAACATTTGTGTCGCTTTAACATGATTTATTTCTTAAACAAAGCATTCTTCACAATGTGATTGCGCTGTTCATGATCCTTTTTTGAATTTATTAATAAAATTAAATCAACAAAGTTTTTTTTTACTCGTACTGTAATTTATTATTTCAACCCACAATTAACTTGGAATGATCATATAAACACCGTGTCCTCCAATGTTTCAAAACGTATTGGTGTCATCCGACGTGTTAAATATTTCCTTCCATCATATACCCTTAAAATGTTAGCTAATGCGCTTGTATTTCCTCTTTTTTATTATTGTTGTTGTGTATGGTCAAATTGTAATGTTCAAAATATTAATTGTTTACAAGTACTTATGAATAGATTAGGTAGAATTTTGCTTTCTGTAGATATTAAGACTTCAACTGATTTTATTTTAAGTCAACTTGGCTGGAGAAGACTCAATGCAATTTGGAATGAAAAATTACTTCTAATGACTTTTAAATGTTTGAAAGGGTGTGCTCCTCCATATTTATCCTCAAAATTTACCTTTAATAATACTACCCATTCTCAAGGCACACGTAGCCAAACCCATAACAATTTAGTTGTCCCCACTTGGAATATTTCCCATGGCAAAAGAACCTTTACTTACCGTTCATCCAAAAGCTGGAATGAACTTCCAAATGAACTAAAAATTAACTTTAAAGAAATGTCAATTCATACATTTAAAAATTTCCTTATTACACAAGATTTGCATTGAATTTTCTCTATGACTGATTTTTGTTTTTATGTTTGTTTATATTTTTTATTTATAAATTTGATTCCTTTTATAGTATCCTGTTT